TCGATCATGTACTAAAAAAAAAACAACAATTCTTCATAAAGCTACCTAACATCAGTCATTCCAACTCAAAAATGCATTAACAACAAATTTAAAAAAAAACAGTTTTGCATTAAAATATAATAACATGCATTTTTTTGCATAAATAATCTATCAACATACAATTTTTTCAACAAAAACTTTAACAATAAAAATTAAAAATGTGGTTTAATACCTCATGATAATCAATACCTGGTCACTATTTTCACATCTTTTCGATAAATCACAATTTTTCAAAAAAAATCGATCATGTATAAAAAAAAAAACAAATAAAAACAATTCTTCACATAGCCACCTAACATCAGTCATTCCAACTCAAAAATGCATTAACAACAAATTAAAAAAACTACAGTTTTGCATTAAAAATATAGTAACATGTATTTTTTTGCATAAATAGTCTATCAACATACAATTTTTTCAACAAAAACTTTAACAATAAAAATTAAAATTATGGTTTAATACCTCATGATAATCAAAACCTGGTCACGATTTTCACATCTTTTAGGAAAATCATCATTTTTCAAAAAATTCGATCATGGATAATAATAAAAAAAAAACAGCAAACTCAAACAATAAAAATTTAAAATACGATTTAATACCTCATGATAATCAAAACCTTGTCACAATATTCACATCTTTTTGGAAAATCACAAATTTTCAAAAAATTCGATCATGGATTACGAAAAAAAAAAAAAAATACTGTTCTTCACAGAGCCACCTTACATCAGTCATTTCAACTAAAAAATCCACCTCCAAACGAATAAATTACAGCCAGTTGAGTATATGTTTTGATAAACAACAATATAAGGAATCAAAACCCTAAATTATGAACACATTATCATCAATAAATCAAATCAAATTGATTAAACCCTAGAAATCTAACACATTATTTGTAATATATCGTCAACAATAGATCGAAAGGCAGAAAAAAAAAAAAAACAGCAGGAATTTTTTTTCACAGACATCACTGTGTTCTTCCAAAAAATCAGGTTGTAATTGAGTAAATTAAATAAAATTGAATATGGTAAATGATAAAAGACACGATAAAGATGTAAAACCCTACAAATTTAACTGATTATTTTTAAAATATGGGCTGAAATTGATCAAATGGCTGGAAAAAAAAAACAAACGTAGAGTTCTTACCTAGTTTTGTGAACCCATGGCTTCAATATCCAAATTACTCTGTTTTTCTCAAAGATTATCACAAATTCGTAACAAAATTTTTTGATGAACACATATACGATCAATATGCCTCAAAATTTTCACAGATTCATGCCCTATTTGGCATGAAACAAAAGAAAAAGCGGAAATCCTAAAACCCGCAACTTTCATGATCTAAAAAAATGAAATTTCTCCACCATTTAATCTATGAAAAGGTTGAAAAAAGCTGCATAAGGCTTGAATATTAGATCACATGGCATAAAAAAGAAAAAAAATGATAAAAAAATGACAAAATTTGAAGAAACCCATGAAGAACACTGTGCAGCCCGTGTTCTTCACGGGACTCGCCGATTCCGTACAGTGAATCGGCGAGTCACTGTACATAATCCCCCGGTTCTCTCTGGACCTAGGCGATTCCGTGTATTATGTTGGAACCAGCACGTCCTGTGCCGATTCCCGAGTCGAACCGGGCGAGTCCAGTTCGGCTCGGCGTTTTTTTAAACCCTGGTTTAAATAAAAGGACACGGTTTCTATAAGTCCATGTAGAAATGAGTCACCTCTTAAAAATCTATTTTTAAGATGGATTTTTGGACCTAATTATTAAGGACATGTAATCTCTAACATGGAGATTATGAATATAATTTTTTTAAAAAATTAAAAATAATAATTCTATTAAAAACATATTTGGGCTATTAGTTTCAATTATTTTTAGATGGACCATCTATGCGATCCCGGAAACAGTTTTCCTAAACAAAATATAAGAAAGTTTAGCCTCACCACGATCGGCTAGATGGGAAGCTCTCATCTCGACACGTGTTAATTATCTATTTGCTTGTTTTGAGTTATTAAAGACATCCCACTTCATCTTTAGTTACTTTTGAGTGCTTATGATGATAGCCTTCCCATCCAAACAAACTTTGTAATTAAAGATGAGAATAAAAGACACCGACGCCTTCATGTCTTCTCTTTGGGTTCAATGACTTTCCATCCTTGTCCATATGTTGATTTGACAATAATAGAATTTTATTTGATAAAGAAGTAAAAACTTTTTCTTTGGACATTATAATAGTGGGATTGGAGGGTGGGACATTATGTTCAGATATCCATCCCTAACCCCAAGTCCTTAACCCCATTCCGAACCGTGATTGAACTTAAGGAAGGCGGTGGCCTTGTAGGATCAAATAAATCATTGTGTATCTTTATTTTATAAACAAATGGGGCTGCAGCCTGTTAAAATATATAAAGCCTCAACTCATAATTCGTCAAAAATTACAACTCAAGCATCGATCATCTCAGCTTGAAGATATTACTTGTGAAATAGAAAAAGATTCTAAGCTTTAAAGATTGTGTATATTATAACAAATTATCTAAACTGTCCATTTCACCTTAAAATAAGTGTTTAGAAATTCGCAAGATCTGTACCATTTTTTAGTTCAAAATTTTATTTTTGATGTTGGAAATTGACTTAAATCTATCATGAGGATTTTTCTTGCTCAAAGTACTTTCTAGACGAGGATTTGATGTGAGGCTTTATTTTGTTTTCTATAAGCCTAGACCTTATAGAAACTTCATCTATTTTTAATGGGTTATGTTTGGGTGCTTACACTTATACACTTAATTTTTAAAATTGGTAAATTTTGTGATACTCTTAAACCCTTAAGACCTCACTATCATGTGATCCCTATCATGTGATCTAGAATCCTACAAGACTATTGTGTTAATAATAAATCAAGTAAAAATAGCAAAATAACTTATTTTTACCTATTTTTTGGTAGGTAATATTACAAAAATACAACTCCTAATTTTGGTTAGATTTGGGCTCCATTTGACCCCCCAAAATGGAAATTTGGCTTGCAAATCTGATTAAAATTCGTATATATCCATTTTAGTATGATTTGAGCTTTTATATAAACACATTTTGTAACCCATTTAGAGATAGACTTTAACCCATAGGCCAAGAAACCTGAGAAAAACCTAGACCTAGGAAAACCCTAGTCTTAAGCCACTTATAGGCCTTAGATCAAGAAATCCATCCAATCAAGCCAAGGCCTGGTCAAAACCTAAGAGAGACAAATAGCACGCACGACATAAACTCAACCGGTCCTGATGCAGACAAGGCCTCGAAGCCTCGGGAGTCCTTACTTTTTCTTGTGTTTCTTTTATTTTTGTTTATTTTATTAGAATTAAATTAGTTTTTATTGCTTTTTACATAGTATTCCGTATTTCGGATCAATGCTGGCTTTGCCACTGATATGATAACGGATTTGTTCACTTATGAGTAGATCTTACCTCAGATCTGAATTTGATTGTCCCACTTTCTATCACACTTTTTAAAAAATTAGTTTGTAGTGTTCAGATATGAGGGATCTTCTTCTGAAGATCTCTTCGATTTGCATCGTAAACAACACGATTGAGCATTTTATAATTGTACTCAACCAATTATGGACACTTTTAGAGCCTTGTTTTGTAATATAATATTTTTTTAATAAAAGTATTTTTGGTCATTATGAGGGGTGTGATATCATCCACATAGTGCATTAAATGCCACTAGTGTGCTTTATATGAGAGATGTCACACCCCATGTGCGTAATATCACATTCTTCCTAATGACAAAAATGCTTTTACGAAAAAATGCTCTATGTATAAAACAAAGGTATATAAGTGTCTAAATTTTGTTGAGTACAATTATAAATTACTTTATAGTGTGAACACCCTGAAATAACCCTTTTTAAATTTGTCAAACAGAAAAATATGTAAAGAGATTATTTAGTTTTTGCCCAAAGAGATTACAATTATATTTGTCCCTCCAATTTCAAATTAGATAGTTGTAAAAGTATCATTGACTAGACTCAAAGTTCAAAAAAAAATTCTCAATGACTCAACCCAAGCCATCCAATTTGATATCTAATGGCTATGAGTAAATTGACCTCCTTGTAACAAAGATTAATGGCCTCATAGTACACAATCACGGTTTAAGGTCTTCTTTTAACCGAACTGACATAATAGGTCTTCTTTTAACCAAACCGACATGGTCTTTGTTGAGCCGATATCAAAATTAAGGCTCATACTTCTTCGAGTAAAACTAAGTTTCAACAAAGACATGCTATAAATTTTTGGTCGGATTGGAGTGATAACCTAGTTACTAAAATGAGGCACACGGAAAACTAAATGAAGACCTGAGCCTATAACTTAGATTTGGAGGTATGAGATGAACTCGCTTTCTTCAAAGTATTGAAATGCACCCTTGTATTCACAAGCTTATTTCATTCACATGCTTATTTCATTATGTGGATGTTTTGCACGAGGCTTGTTTCTCATTTATTCTTCAAAGTTCAAACAAAAAGGAAGAGAAAGCATCTATTTAAACATGCTTCTGACTCTTCGATGTGAGAATATACCCAAAACAAAATCCATAAAATACCTTGTTTTCAAACACTTTCTCAAAGTTAGGACAATTGAGAAATATCCAATTTTATTTTTGAAATTTAAAACATGTCCATATGTTTCATATTTAAACATAGTGTATTTAAAACATGTCCATATGTTCCATCTAGATCGGCGATCCCAATCGGAAACTGCCAAGTTTTAAAACACTGCTTTAAAAATAGTGTATTTCGTAATATATTATAGTGTTTATAGATGAAAAGTTGTACACAAATTTTGAAGCTTCAAATTTCAGGGGCAGTACTAAAAAAATACTTCCAATAATGTTTGGTGGTTCGCCGAAACACAACCCTATATTCTAGACTAAAAGCACGCAGACTTTCATTTCCTTACTCAACAATTCTCTAGGCTTTCAAACAACTGACCAAAAACACAGTGAAGCAAAGTCATAAACCAACTTTTAACAGACCAACAACCTTCTGAAGGGCTGACCACCTTCTCATATGTCAATAAACACTGCTGCACTGATGGATCAGAACCATAGAATCCATGCCAAGAGAGTTGTTCAGCCGTTGGATTCAACTAGTGTAATAGAAGAGGGATGTTGATTTAGGCAAACCTCTTGTGGTAAGAGGTTATATATTATTTCATGTTTCTCGAAGATCCTTTTGAGTTCGAGATAAAGGTCGGATTTACGGCTGATCTTGTCGATATAGTTTTGGTAGTTCATGGTGTGGGTGAGGTAGACAGCCATATTCATCTTATTGACATTTTCTATCGCCGTCACCGCTACCGTGTGCTTCGACTGCCAGTGCTTGGGCTTGCTTTGTATGTAACTGCAGCCCAAAACATGTGCTGTTATATTTATGTTGTCTACTGTTTGAATCAAAACAGCTCACTCTCTCTCTCTCCATGCACATAACATACACGTATGTCATTTTAATGATAAAAATATTCTTACTTATTTTATAGCTATGGAATAAAAAAAATTTAAAATAATTTTAATATGTCACACCGCTTTCTGAATATAACTTATATAAGGTTTTATGCGCTCTTAATAATACAAGGAATACACACACATCTTGATGAACAAGAAAGGAAAAAATGGGAGCCCAGTGGAAATAGTACTCACTTATGAATCTGGTCCTTGAGGATATTGATTTTCTCCAAGGGAGTGTGAACATCAATAGCGAACTCAACAGTGTCAGACATGTTTGGGCTTCTGTAGAAATTGCTGATGGGCTTTGTCAAGAGCACTGAATTCGGATAATATATCTTCTCATTGTCAAACCTCAGGAACACTGTTGATAGAATATTCATCTCCTCCACTATCATCTGCCATCACAAACCCTTGACTCTCTTATTTGATTCATTGCAGCTTTCAATTTCATAATTCATAATTCATAATTCATAATTCAGATTGGGTTAGGGACTATGTTCCTTTTGGTGGTTAAAATTGTAACATTCATGATCTCTTTATATGTCAAAAAGAACTGTTGTGAAGCCATTTTGTTATTTGTGAAAACTAATTAAGTAGCTAATCCAAATAGAAAGCAATCTAACAAAATGATGTGTGTTTGAGTGAGAGATAAAAATGGAGTGTCTATGACTGCAAAATGTGGCAATTTCCCTTTAAAAGATCGTATTACCCTTAGTGCTCTTAGGCAAGACTTACAACTTGTAACATTTCTTTTGGGGTAGTTAAGTTGGTTGGAAACCAGTATTTCAAGATTACAACAAGAAGTTGAGTTATGAGCCAAGCTAAAATTAATATTGGCACATTTATTGTAAGTTTTCCATGCTATAGGACATTGAAATTTCATTCCCAACTTTCAACCATTTCCCCTACAAACCCACCTGCTTACTGTTGATCCAATCAAGGCTCGAGCATCGATTCTCCACAACAGGGTGGTTAGCTAGAAATAACAACAAAACATAGGTGTATATGACAAAATTTAATAACTATTGATATTATGATAATAATAAGAAGTCGACCTCAATTAGTTGGAAAAAGACTTTGATGATGATGACTCTGATGATAATAAGAACAACAAGAGTAATTATATAAATTTATGAAGCAAACAAATAAACAACAACAACAACAATACCTTGCAACAAACAACAAGAACAAGAACAATAATAGTACTAATAATAATAATTCGAAAGCGGATAGATGCTTACTTGAACTCCGTCGATAACACAACGGTCACCTACATCAAACGGATGCATGACAAACACAAAGATGATGGCTTCGAAGATGGTCTTGCAGGTGTTGTTAAACATGAAGCCCACAACCAGTAACTGCGAAGAAACAAACAATATCACCTTGGATGTGGCCACCCCCATCACCAGTAAGAACTCTATTATGATGATCACGACAACCACACAACTCGCAAGCTTGTGGAGCTGGTGCACCGCTGTCTTTGCATCAGTTAGGGAGTTGGCAAGGGCTTTGCGCTCCATGTGACCTTTTACCTGACATATAGACGGGGGTATTTTGGTTATTTGGGATCATCGGTCATTAGTTTATTTTAGACAAAGACCTGGTTTAAATGATGCGATTCTTAAAAATCTATTTTTGAGATGGATATTTGGACTTAATTTTTAAGGACATGTAATCTCTAACATGGAGATCACATGAAAAAATAAATAAATTTTAAAAATTAAAAATAATAATTCTATTAAGAAAACATGTGAACCGCATATGTAGAAATGTGGTCCAGCCCGCAGGAATCAATTTTCCTTTAGACCATGTCGTTAGTTTGGTATGTGAGAAGGTATTCTCTTGGGAATGGGGTTGGGCATCTACGATTAGGGGAGCAGATGGCTCAACATAATGTCCTAACATTCATTCCCACTGTTAACATATAAAAAACAAAAAAAACAAAAAAAAAAAGAACAAAAAAAAGAGAGAGAGATATGGAGAAGGCATTCTCTTTGTTTGTGAATGGTGTTTAGGTGATTGGAGTTGTTTTATTAAATGAAGCATAGAAGACAAACTTAAATGAAGACAACTGAAGACACATAAGACAATAGAGGCATATATAAAATACCTGATATGGAGGAAATTTACATGAAGGCACATCTAAGCAAAAAGCAGACATAAGGAAAGCACACCATGACTGACTAGGCTAAGAGGCCCTGAGAAACTCCTGCCTTAAAACACATCTTAAGAGGTCTTATATAGGCAACGGATTTCAAATCCGAACTTCAAAGAAAAAAAATAAAAAGGACATCAGTCCGACATGATCTAGTGGATCCATGTAGGTACAGTATAAAGTAATACAGTGTAAAGTGGGTACAGTAACATCATCTGATACAGTGACAGCTGGTAGTGAGAATAGTGACAGCATCTAGGAGTAATGACAGCATCTTATGATGAAAAGACAGGTTTTCCGACCGGTGGAAAGTTTAGAGAAGACATCATCCTTATCCTTCAGTCTGTGTCATAGACTAGTGGTAGTCCATCAGAGTCGTAGCTTGGTGAGGAATGACTTGAGGGACTGTGAGACGGTCCAATGTAAGAGTTATCACTAGAACTAGTGTCAATCTGTCCTTCAGGAGGAGGATGATCAACTAACTAGAGGTATAGTTGGTGAAGAAGGGCAACACCAAGGGGAGTTTCATCGTTCCATACTGTGGTTCCTGCAAAGATATCCAAAGGAATCCATTCTGGCTGGACTCTGTTAATGTAGCACATAAGAATTTTTAATTCTTTTCATTGTTCTGTCTAGAACATCCAATAATTTAGGAGATTAGAATCATACCATCCAATGGTTTAGATATAGGGATATTGGGCAATGAAGGTATATTCTGAAAAATATTGAGGTTTTAGATCTAGATGGAAGACTATGATGCGATAGGGTTTGTGATAATAATCAAAAGACTGAATCCATTGATCATAATGATAATGTTTTAAAAAGAATTTATAAAAGTTGAAGGCTCTTGGGTTTGGGTGTACATACTTACTCCATTGTAAGAAATGACAATGTCTTATATGAGACAGTAATTTCCTAACATGAAAATTGAAGCAGATATGGTGGATTTGGGTAAGGTACCAAAAGAAACAAAGGGCTTCTTTAGGCATGTTATAATAGTATCTGGTTTGGAATAAAGATAAAAATGGGTATTTTGGATGGCATCGAATTCCTTGAAATCATTCTCCATGATTCCTGATCAAAATTTCATACATTTTTTGTTGCATGAATTCATTACGTGCTTCCATTGTTTTGTTAGGAATGAGATCATTAATTTCTTCAGGAACTTCTCTTTCTTTTTCTTCAATTCTGATTATGGATCCCAAAATGGGATAATTTGGAAAGAATTTTCTTCAGGTTTTTTTCTTGAGAACATATCAGCCATAACATTGTTTTTTCCAAGAATATGTTTGACTTTAAAATTCTATTGAGAAAACCAATTTGCCCATCTGAGTAACTATGGGTTCGGAAGAATCTTGTTTTTGAATTTTAACATATTCGGAAAACTTGACATATCCATTTCTACCAAAAGAAAATGGCCACCCAAACTGAACAATATATTACCATAGCCTTGCCCAACAACTTATTTCCCCAATGGATTAAGGATGGTTATACACATGTTCACTTTGGAGCCATTAAGCTTGCTTTAACTTTCCATGGAAGAAAAGGTATGGAAGAAGTTTCTCGAATTGCTTTGTTAGATTCTAGGTTTTTAGAATACCGGCATACATGTATTGGAACTGTGCAAACAACCCTAAATGCCGGAACTATATTTGTTACCTTCTTCCCAAATTTTAATATCCCCATCAAAGATCCTCACCCAAGCTCAGTCTTTAAAGTTCAATTGCAAATCACAAGCACCAGACAAATTGAAACAGCCACTGTAGCTACACTCCATTATCAAATGGTGTATAGATTACAGAATCATGCCTTTGACATGGTTATTCATCTTTCTCCAAAACAGGAAAACAAAGCCTTGTTTATAAAAGTAGATAACAATTCCCAACCCGTCTGTCATTATATTCCTAGACAAATCTTTAGAGAAAGACTGTTGGAATTGATTCCATCTACCTGGGTGACAAATTATAAAAATCTGCAAAATCAAAGAAGGCCTCTTTAACAAACTGATTCCAGGATGACCAGAAATCCAAATGGAACAGTAAGAATAGATTTTCAAAATCAGCAGGAAACTGAGCAAAACAGAGAGATATTTCCAACTCAGTTTCATGGATTATTGGAAAAGGTTCCTATTGTCGCTTTTGATAAAAAAGGAAACCCAATTTATGAACAAAAAACAGCTGACGGACACCATTGGTTTGATGTTTGCAACTGTGATTCATGCTTTGAAGACCAGAATAATTTCCCAGAGGAAAAAAGAAAGAAAGAGAGCAAGGAAAAGAAAAAGAAAACATCACAGCAGAAGTTGCATGAAAGATATATGAATGGTGACCCTTATGTTGGATTACTTGGTCAATGTGCAGAAAAGTGGAACTACTATGTTTTATATGGTAGTCCCAAAGATGAACCCAAACCTCAGATTTCAAAAATCATCCCTTCAGGATGGGATGATCTAGACAAAAACAACATACCAAGTTGTTTAGCTTTTGACCCACAGAGTTCAAGCTATACCACAAATTTTCCCCCCTTACATGATTTCAAAAGACCACAAGAAAATGAAAAACATGTTTGGAAAATTAAAACTCCCACTATGAGAGACTCGAATGGAATGCAGAAATTCATATCACCTGCAGAAGCTAGTCTGAATTGGCAAGCTGAGAATGCCAAATCTCAGAATTTAGCCTTGCTTAGAATTGAAGAAAATAGAATGCAATGTCTACTCAAGTACAGGGATTAGCCAGCTTGATTCACCAGTTGAAAGAAAGAATTCAACTCTTACATGAAGAGTTAATGAACATTTTGTACACAGTTAAGGACGTCAATGAATTGTCTTATTTACTGGTACAAAAGGAGCAAGAAAAAGCTAATCTGGAAAAACAACCGCAAAGTTTGCAAAATGACCTTTGGAAGTCCCAACACCAGTTCCAGACACAATATTAGACCTCTTCTCAACCCTCCGGCTATCACCCTCTTTTACCCATGCCAACTTTTCACACATTACCCTCTTTAAGAAACCCAAACCCATTTCCTCCAACTAGAACTGTTTACCCTCCAACTGGTTTAATTCTCCCAAGAAACTACAACTTTAGACCTTTGAGAACATTTGAAGTTGAAAGACAACTCCCTGAGCATTTGATATTTCCACATTTAAAAAAGAGACAAAACCCAAATGTCCCATCTTCATCTTCATATCCTATACCAAGTTCTCAACCAGCCTCAATGACAGTGGTTACACAGATTCCCCAGACATCCACTCAACCAAAAAATGAAACTTAGATGATTCAGAATTCTGATACAAAATCTGATGTCATTGTTTCAGATGTTACAGCCTCTTCTGTCTCAATTCCTATGACCATCCATTTTGATGATTCCAATCATATGAGTTCTTTTCTAAAGAACTTAACAAACCCATCAGAAGTCAATCTCCAAGATGAAGCTAGTTCTACAGATGAATCTGAAGAATTCTCTTCTACCTCTATTGATTCTGAATCATTACTGATGATGAATCCTCTAGAACCACAACCTGAACCTGACCCAAATATATAACAGCCTGAAGAAGTTAGACCTCCAAACTACCAAGAACCGCAACCAAACCCCTCCTATGGTGATACCTCCAAAGGCTTTACAATAGATGATATTCAACTATCCAAGTGGAATGATCGATTCAGAGAATCCATGGATGGATGTTTGCTGAAATGATAAATCCAACAAACACGTTATCCCAAACAATCTTGAAAGTTATTGTCAGACTAAGATGATGTCTTTTTTACTGGTACTTAAGCCTCGGTGAGTATAGACAAATCCAATTGTGAAACAGTGAGTCAGTATTCGATTTCCTGAACTACATGGTTTCTGAGTTTTCTGGCCCAGTAAAGCATGAACAGATTGTAGCAAAAGAAGAATTTTTTCAATTGAAATGTTGCTCTTTCAAAAGACGAAGACCTTGAAAAATATTTTGCTATGGTGGGATTGACGATGTTAATCTAAAGCAATTTTATCTTGAATCTATACCCCCAACTCTAGGCAAAGAGGCCACAAAAACAATGGAAAATCAAGTACTTACAATTCAAAACACCACTTTTGATGAACTATATCAATATGTTCTTCATGCACTGGAAAGGCTTTGCAATCAAGTTGATTTTGTCAAAAAAATGCAGAAGAATAAACATTTGTTAGGAAAATCATGTGAGAAACCTTATCTCAAAATCAAATGTAATTTAGAAAAGCTTTGCCAATGTCCAAAACCTCTGAAGAAAGACAAGCCTTTTAAACAAAAGAGGCACAAAAAGAAATTTAAGAAATTTAAGTTTCTTCGAACATCAAGATTTCATGATTCCAGACACAAGAAAGGAAACAGATGTTTTGTTTGTGGACAAAAGG